AGAGAGAGAGAGAGAGACAGAGAGAGAGAGAGACAGAGAGAGAGAGACAGAGAGAGAGAGAGAGACAGAGAGAGAGAGACAGAGAGAGAGAGAGACAGAGAGAGAGAGAGAGAGAGAGAGAGAATACACATATTTGACATATTTTTCCAATGTTTTATTGTTATTTTCTATTTTAGGTTTGTTAATTCATATATATGATGTTTATTGTTATGCACCAAAACACTAAAGCAAATTCCTACTATAAGAACACCTACTTAACCTTGATTAAAGAGAGGAATATTGCACTTTTTCCTCTACTAAATCTATTTTATAATTTAGTTAGTTACTTTTTTAATTAAGATATTGGACATAAAACATGATTAGCTTTGACAATATGATGCAGTGTCAAGGGTTAAACTACAGCACTTTTGCCATTCCTACATTTGGGTGCTGATACTTTCCACCCTTTGTAAGTGTGTAATACACTTAATTATTATATTGTAATTATCTATAACTTCTGCAACACCACAATCTTATACGGTGGAATTTGTTTACATTTACATTTACTTTGTATATAGGCTCTTATTATCTACTAAAACCTAACAGACATAATATGTATTAAAGTGTATTTTAATACTTCCAGGGCATTATTGTAATACATAATAACATTTGTGGGACATATAACAGAATAAAGTATTATAAGAATGATATATGCTCTATAAAATGAGAACACAATGTGCCGTCTAGAAGCTGGTGTTTATGATCATCTTATAAAATATGATGTATGTATTTATAATTGCTGCTTTATTCCACATTAATAATAATCCAAAAATGTAAATTAGAACCTGATAGAAGTAATAATGTCATCCCACAACTGATTTGTACATTATAGTGCTACTTTTTCTAGAGTAAAAGATCAAAATACGACTGCACATAACTGGATAATGGTCTAAAAGCAATTATTAAAAAGTATTTTATTACTATTAAAGGTTGAGAATAAGCACCAAGCTGTTACATAAAAGTATAAGCAGATGTTGCTCCTTTAGAATAAATCATAGAAAAACATGATACAGAACATTTCGGCCTACACTTTACATCTTTATCCTCGTGTATTATCAACAAACCATTACCTTTTTCATATGCTGCCACTTTTTCATTAGTTTAATGGGCCTTGAAACATTTCCTTTTGGGTTGTTAACTCAACACTAATTCTTTAGGAAAAAGTGAAACTCAATTCACTCTCCACATTTATTACAGTGCGGCTTATCAGTAGTCACCTGTGTATGTGTGTTTCATTAATGCTTTAATGTGCTGGAACTAAAATGTTTTTCTTGCTCACTTTCCTGCTATGACATATATTAATGTTGTGGAAACTCCATAAAAGCCCATTTTCTGAAGGCACAGCGCCAGGGTAAGTAGCTTAAGAGTGTCTCGTTGCCTGTTTTAAAGATATATCTCCATTTAAAGGTAAGAAAATACACTAAAAAAATGATTTCATGAAGTTGCTCACACATTTGATTTAAGCTTGTTTATGTCTACTCTTCCTCTTGGTCTTTTAGACTTTAGATTAGGGAATTATAAAGATGTTAGTTTTTGATCAGCTCTCGTTTAATTAAAACATTTCTGTGTGTTTTGCTTCAGGGTTCATCATGAAGGTGCTGTCTGAAGTTTTAGTTGTCTGTCTGCTCGGAGTGCTGCATGCAAATGCTCAACCTGAAGACATAGGGTTAGTCTCACAAGGCTAAATAATGCTCTGAATACATGCTCTTAATACTGGAGCCTGACAGAGTTTTTGGGGCCGATGCTGATTTTAAAGGGGAAAAAATCCACAGATTATCAATACGGCAGCTGAGAATGAAAGTAGACTGAGTATGACGGCTTTCTTAAAGGTCCAGTGTTGAACATTTAGGTGGCTCTATTGTCAGAAATGGAATATAATATTAATAATCACCATCATAATAAAGGAATTTTGTGTTTTTTTGTTACTTTAGAATAAGACGTTTTTATCTACAGACGCCACTAGTCTGTTTTTCTTTAAAGATAATAAGATAATATATACCTTTCTTAATCCCCCGCAGGAGAAATTCAAATCAACACAGCAGCATTGGGGAATATAGTGCAATAAAAAGAATACAGTGTACATACAACCGTATAACAAATAAAGATATTACAAAATATAATAGAGATTATAAAACTATAAATGAAAATATATACACTATATGCAATGTGCAAGTACAATAGTGTGCAACTGACTAAATAACTAAACTGTACATGTGCAATTTAAGATAAAAGATTTGTGAGTTTTGATTCCACTGAATGTTAAATAATTGAACATAAAGGCTACTGTCAACTAATTTCTAAATGAACACAGAAAAAATAAAGAATAAATTAAAATAAAATAAACTGATGATGATGATATCGGCGTATATTGGATGGCATATCCCGATAACAATACCAATATGTCTGCGATAGGCCAATATCGGTGGATAATATCGGTTAGGCTCTACTTAATACACTAAAGGACTAGTTAATTTTAAGATAAGTCTTTATTGATCTCCAGAGGGGAAATTCAGGCGTTGCAGCAGAACAAAGACAGAAGTAAGTACAGATAAATAGAGAAAAGTTTAAAATAAGCTAATTTCAGTGAAGTATATTAGATATGAGTTATATGATACTGTCTACTGTACACCAGAATAATAACCACAACCAAACAGTGAATCTAGATAATAATAATCAGTTCATTAGCTGCAGCTCATGTGATTTTACATATGTGTCTTTTGTCAAGTCTCAGTGAAGACGAGCAGCATGTTGGGAGAAGATACGCCGAGTCGACCGTTGGCAGCGAAATCAGCAAAATCATGGATTCACTGGTGCAGAAGAACTTTGTCGACTTCTTGCTCAACCAAAGGGAGAAAAAAAGCAAGTAAGTGACTCAAAGAGTGCAACAGATTTCAAAGCAAATGCAGGAGATAACAGCAGATTTATGGAAGTGATTACTGTCCTCCTTCACAGGCCTGCTGCCCCTTCAGAGGAAGAGCCAGAGGAACGTCTGTACAACGAGCTGCTGAAGCTCAGTCACCACAAGAGAAACATCTAGGTGTGTTTTCCTTATTTTATACTGTATTAACTGATCTGTCTTGCTGTGTTTAACATCATGTCTCACATCTTGTTCTCAGGCTCCAGCAAGCTGCTGCGATGCTGCTAAAGCCCACAATTCTTCTGATGATTCCTTCTGATGTTTTTAAAAGCTTCGATGATGTGAAATCTTGTGTATGATGAATGTTTGTCCTGTGGTAAAGTAAATAAAGTGACTTGAAGCTGAGCCATTGTGTCTTTATTCTCTAAGAAACATTTAATTGGATATAAAAGCTGAAATGCTGCAGATGAGCTGTGTAAAGTGTGTTTAAGGCTTCATATATTTACTCCCCTACGTTTATTTACCTAATTATGTAAAAGTTGTTTACATTTAACATCTATAATGAGATGTTATTGTCAGATTAGGAGAAATAAAATAAATAAAATATGCAGTGGTGGAAGAAGTATTCAGATATTTTACTAAAATAAAAGTGTAAAAAATACTCAAAATGTTAATTTAAAAAGTACAAAAGTATGCACAATGGTTCATTTTATAATCATATACAGTATATATTATTGTATTATAATTATGTGTATGTTACTGATATAGATGCAGTTAATTGTAATGACTTTATATAATGCAGGGTAGCTTAATCTGTAATAATATATCATAATTTATTAGTTGATTTTTATTTTGTGTTAATAATCTAAATATGCAAAGTCACTAGTAACTAATAGAAAGTATATTTATCTCCAAAATGTAGTGGAGTAGAAGTAACACAGACATACTCAAACAAAGTACTTGGATACCAGTGAAAAGGTGATTTGTTGTTGCAGATTAAGTAGTTAAATTGGCAACATTAAAATGCTGATGATATGTTAAAAAAGAAAACAGCATAAACTGTACAATAATCAATACAATAAAAATACTTTAATGAACTTAATACACTACAAATGCCATAAAAATAATGATTTGGTGAATGAAAATCACAAAAACTTTAATGTTAACTTTAACTTTAACTTGAGTTTACCACAATCTCATATGACAATTTAAAAAAAAGCATCACATTTGATCAATAGAAAATCCAATGGATAGAAATCATATAAGATAACGTTCTGTCTCCACACACTACACCTAACTCCAGGCCTTTTCTCTCCAGAAATGATTGTGGTGGTGAACAAACAGACAACATTTGCAAGTTGAAATCCAGATCCATTTCTCTCTTATATTACTATTTTTCCGGTATACTTTTGATTGATTATTTGACCATTTAACACATGTTTTGTGTTGCTAAGATCCTATGTTTAGGAATGTTTCAACTATCAACATTATGGATGCATTTGTAAGTTTTTTATTCTCATGTAAAGAGAAAATTAGTGTTAACTTTCATGCTAATAAAGGACTGTAACTGCTTTGGATCCCTGTGTTACAGTTTTTCTCCA